CAGTGAGTTTTTTCCCCACTAATCACAGTTGACATATACCATTCACTTATTTCCTTTGGGACACATCTGTGCGCTTTTATCCAGACCATTCTCTCAGCCTATGGACTTTTATAAAAGGACTTTGTGTTTTTTATGGACCACTTATTATTGAACTACCCTTTGACCCTCTCAGGTGCACGCCTTACCCAATTCCTACCACTCCATCCCCACTCCGCTTGTATACTGTACATGTACATGTATATTTTGTAAAATGTAAGTGGAGGTTTCCTCTAGTGAAATCTACAGAAAAAGGCAACTAAATTATATGCAAATCTCAGCTTTTTGTTACAAATTGAGGCAAATATACTTTCCACTTTGCAATGGAAGTGGAACTTTGCAAAGGAATCTTATCTTAGTGAATGCGGTGAAAACTCACTTTGCCAAGAATACCCAATCACGTGTAAAGAAAATGAAATGGACACACAAACCATAACATACACATCATTATGTGCTATCCTTACCCAACACTCCACACTCCCTTAACATAGAAACTTGCTAAAAGGCCAGAAGACAATCTACCATATTGACTTATCTCTATGTATATCTGCTGGTTTGCAATATTCAGTTGATATAATGTCATATTCGGCTCTGATCTGTATTGCAGTTTAACCACTTGCCTACCAGGCACTTATACCCCCTTCCTTACCAGGCCAATTTTCAGCTTTCAGCGCTGCCGCACTTTGATTGACAATTGCGCGGTCATGCAACATTGTACCCATATGAAATTTTGATCATTTTTTTCTCACAAATAGAGCTTTCTTTTGGTGGTATTTAATCGCCACTGGGCGCTTTACTTTTTGCGCTATAAATTAAAAAAAGTGCAAAAAATTTGAAAAAAAAAAAAAAGTTTATTTGTTTCTTTTATAAAATTTTTCAAACAGGTATTTTTTCTTCTTCACTGATTTGCGTTGATGAGGCGGCACTGATGGGCACTGATGGGCACTGATAGGCGGCACTGATGGGCACTGATAGGCAGCACTAAAGGGCACTGATAGGCAGTACTAATGAAGTGGCACGGATAGGCGGCACTGATAGACAGCACTAATTAGGGGTCACGGATAGGCGGCACTGATATGCAGCACTGATAGGCGGCACTGATAGGTGACACTGATGATGGGTACTGATAGACGGCACTGACTGGCATCACTTCTGGGCACTGACTGGCGGCACTGACTGGCACAACCCCTGGGCACTGACTGGTGGCACTGACTGGCAGCACTGGTGGGTGGCACTGGTGGGTGGCACTGGTGGACAGCACTGGTGGGTGGGCACAGGTGGGTGGCACTGGTGGGCACAGGTGGGTGGTGCTGGTGGGCACAGGTGGGTGGGCACAGGTGGGTGGCACTGCTGGGCACATGTAGGTGGCACTGCTGGGCACAGGTAGGTGGCACTGCAGAGTGGCACAGGTGGGGGCACTGCTGGGCACAGGTGGGGGTACTGCTGGGCACAGGTGGGGGCACTGCTGGGAATGGGTGGGCGGGGCTAGTGGGCGCACAGCTGATCGGAACTTGCGGGGGTCACTGCTGGGAACCGATCATCAGGGCACTGATCATCAGTGCCCTGATGATCGGTGCCGATCCCCGCTCTGACAACTGCCGGTTCTCGGCAGTACTTTCCTCACGATCTGACAGCGTGAGGAAAGTGCAGCCGAGAACCGGCACTTGCATTTTCCTGTGATCAGCGTGTCATTGGACACCGCTGATCACGTGGTAAAAGGCCGGTGGGATCGGCCTTTCACCACATCTCGTGATCAGCTGTGTCCCAAGGACACAGCGATCACGGAGATCGCCGGGTGCGCGCCCCCTGGGGCGCGCAGGAGAGCGCGTTCTGGGAGGACGTCATATGACGTCCACTCAGAACTGGCCGGCCGCGGTGAAGCCGTCATTCGGCTATGCGCGGTCGGCAAGTGGTTAATCCATGACCCGTCTGCGAAACGGAAGGCTGCATGCTATGTTTATGTTCGGATTGTGATCCATAACGGTGTATGCACTGATATGCCTTTTTTCTTCTAATAAAAGTATTTTTTTGAAAAAAAAAGAAAATGAAAAAGAAAAATGTAGTTGGATGATGGCGGTCAGCAGAGCTTCGCCTCACTCACTAAGCTCTGAGGAAAATTCCCCTGCAAAGTGCAACTTCCCTTGGCTTAATAAATCAACCTAAAGGTGTTCTAAGAATGGAGGAGAGAAGAAGTGGACAAACACCAGTAAGGATTGTGGTAGAAGCACCACAAATCTTCTGTGTTGGAAGTGTAGGAAAAGTTCTTCTCTGAGCTGAATTCAGAAGGATCAGCCTCATGCTGGTTCTGGGGTTATAAAGCTCATTTTCACTGCCAGATATATCATACGTGATACTAACCATTATTAGCCTCATTTTCTTTGATGCATTTGGAACCTACAGAGATACATAGTTGCTGTGCACGTTTAAGGTTTCTAAAGAGATGGGTTGCAGCAGTGTGATAGCTTTGCTAGAAGGAGGTAGCTGTAAAAATGCCTACGCCTGGCAAGTAAAATAACGTGGCATCAAACTGATTGATGAATAAGAAATTTTGAAAGTGACTGATTTTCCTTGTCTCTTTCACTGAAAGTTCCAAGTCTGCATTATCGTCACTGTTGTCAGTTGGCCTGTTATGGTATAAAGTGATGAGAAGGTCAATTTCCTTTGTGATGTATGATTTTCATTACACATCACTGGAGACTAGTGTCACTGTAATATTACAGCCTTAAGCACAATGTATGCTTCAGTAGCTAAGAATAAAACTGCGGTAAGCAGATAATATCCCGGTCCATTATCACTCACTTTTTGGGGAGAGCAAAAATCTGCAGATTTCTTGAAGCGACTGTCATTCTTTTTCAACATCTTAAATCTTTATAGCTGGTTCCACACACATTTTGTTGAAACCTTCATCTTATTAAAATAAAAAATAGTTATAATAATATAAAATGGCAATGTGCATGCTAAAAGTTCAATGAAATGGAAAATGATACATTAAAAGTTTTGTGAAGTAATTTATATCCACCTCTGCTGTGGAGGAGTGCATTTATATATTCTTCCTACCATTGTAGGGGAGTGTTCATTGACTCACCATGGTCTGATGCAGACTCTTTAACTCCTTTCCCCACAACTCCTTGGGTTCTTGGACATGGCCAGGAGTATAAGTTCCTCAGCTTTCCTCCCTCAGCATATCAGAGAAGATAAACCTTGTGAGGAGGTAGTAGCTGGGCAAGTCATCTGCAGCCAGGTGAGAGGACCTCCACTGTCATAACTAGCACATGACCAGCTGGGCAGGAGCCTTACAGTACTCATCTTCCCTGGAAGACCAACCTACACTAGAGTATTGCAGTTCCAGTGAGGTGGCACATTGTCCTCAGACCTTTCCAGTTGGCCACCTGGGTTATCAAGGCTACCGTGGACTTTACTGAGATTCTGTTCATGAGGATCTTTACAAGAATCTGTGTTCTGCATGGTTTTATTGAAGAATTCTCAGCTAGAATTTCTGGTGGGAAATTCATAAAAGGGTGTTGTGGAAATATTTTATAATTTTGTGTGGCACCCGCACCAAAATTGTCAGTGCTTGCATCCAATTAACATAAGTGTCAGTAAAAGGTACATGAGGCTGTCGGAGGTCGGAGTGCTCTCTCCCCAGCCACTGTACCCGTCGCATCGCCAGGCACGAGGCTGAGTTTTGTAGCACAGCAGGCAAAGCCTGATAGGGAACTACTTCCCCATCAGGTTCACCCTGCTGTTGAATGACAGCAGATGGCGTTGACCAGATCCATAGCTACTATTCAGTCCAATAGCAGCTTTCAAATCTGCCTGCTGCCATCTGCTGTCAACCAAAAGCCGTTGGGACTAGTTACCCATCAGGTCCACCGCCTCTGTCACTCAAGTCAGTTTCCAAATATGGGCTTTGCCAAATTTGGGTAATGACATCACCAGTATCCCCGGCCCTGTTGACTTTTAGCTTATGGCTGGGGAATCTCCTGGCTGACAACTAAATGGGGCTGTCACATTCATGACAGCATCCCAGCACAGACATGCCCACTCTGAGCACTGGCATATATGTATGCCAGCTCAGAGCTGGTCTTAATAACTGCCAGTTTCCTAACTTATAAGCATGGAAGTATTACTTCAAAAGCTCCGAGCATGTGGATGGGGGGGGGGGGGGGAGCAGAAACAGCAAAATATAAGCAGAATAAACTTCAGCTGCAAACCCCAAATCTGAGCACAGCAAAAAAAATGCTCTTGCAGTGACCCCCCCCCCCCCCCACACACACACACACACACACACACACACACACACACACACTGCACGGGTTAAATGCTTGTTAAGTCTGGACATTCTATGGTAATAGGTGACTGCAGAGGAACTGTCCACAGCCTGGAGCATCAGAAAAAAAGAGTAGCATTTAACCCTTGCAGTGCAGGGGGTTCCAATTCTGGAGGTGGGCTTTAGCTCTGTAAAAATGTTAGTTTTGGATGGAGTGGCTAGATTTGAGTTAAAACAGACCTTTCACTATAAGCAAGATACTCCTCCATGCCAACATGTTTGAAGTCCCTACCATGATAAACTGCCTTACATCTGAGGATGTGGGAAGGTTTTAGGGATGTGGACTATGGTTCTATGGTTCTTTTCTCAGGATACTGTCAGAGAACCACATGACTCTGTAGCTGATCTCGAGTACCTCCGTCTCTTTATACTGATGGTCCTGCTATTGCCCTGGGGATGCTTTTAGTGACTATGCTCCAGTAGAGGTGCAACAATGAAAAAATAGCCTCAGTCATTCTCCTGAAGAAGCTGAGCTTACTTCTGAGAAATGTGTTGAAGAGATTAGAGATGAGCGAATTATTCAAAAATTCGGTTCAGCTGATTCGCCGAATTCGCCGATTAAATTCGCTTCGTGCCGAATATATTCGCTGCGAATTTAACTTATAAAAAGGTGTTTCTAGGCTTCAGAGAGCCTTTATATTAGTGCAGAACACTGTACCTTTAATTTAAATGCCCTTGGAGTCTGCTGGGGAAGAGAAATAATACTGTCAGTCAGTATGACATGCAGATGAGTGCCGTCGATCTTAGAATCACCGCACACTTCACTCATTTGGGCAGTCACGGGGCCAAAACCAGAGTGTGGAGCCACAGTGTGGCGGTGGAGGCAGCAGCAATGGGAGGCCATACAGCACCCTATGACAAAATGGAACCCACCAGCAGTGTGAGGAGACCTGAAAGTGCACATGGCAGAGTGTGGCGATGGAGACAGCAGCAATGGGAGGCCGTACAGGGACCCATGACACACTCTGGACCTGGCAGCAGCATGAGGAGGCGGTACAGGGGCCCATGACAGATTACGGGCCTGGCAGCAGCATGAGAAGTCGGTACGGGGGCCCATGGCAGATTACGGGCCTGGCAGCAGCATGAGGAGGCGGTACAGGGGCCCATGGCAGAGTGGCGGAGCGTAAGCAGCTAAAATTGAAGGCCATACAGAGGCCTATGTTAAAAAAGTCCCCCCAGCAGCAGCGTGGGGAACGACTATCAAGAGTCCAATGGCAGAGTGGCGGAGCAGAAGCAGCTTCAATTGAAGGCCATACACAGGCCTAGGTTAAAAAGCGGAAGCCGTCAGCAGCGTGAGCAGACGACAGAGACACATGGCGCAGGGTGGCGGTGGATGCAGCAGTATTCGGAAGCCAAACACAGGCCTCGGTTAAAAAGCGGAAGCCGTCAGCAGCGTGAGCAGACGACAGAGGCACATGGCGCAGGGTGGCGGTGGAGGCAGCAGTATTCGGAAGCCATACACAGGCCTAGGTTAAAAAAGCGGAATGCCGTCAGCAGCGTGACAGACGACAGAGACACATGGCGCAGGGTGGCGGTGGAGCAGCACAATGAAAGGCCATACAGCACCCTATCACAAAATGAACCCACCAACAGTGTAAGGAACCTGAAAGTGCACATGGCGCAGGCGGTGGAGCGGTGGAGGCAAGCAGTATTTTCGAAGCCATACACAGCCTAGGTTAAAAAAGCGGAAGCCGTCATCACG